GTTTTTGAATATATGGAAAAAGGCAAGGGTAGTTTCACATATATATATATATATATATGGCGGGNCATACGGTGGATTTACAGCACCGGAAATTAAACAGTAACAACTCTTGATGAGCAATCATTTGGTTGTTTGTGTGCGTCTGTCTCCTTCCACGTGTAACCCAATGCAACATCTTCAGTGACAGTGCTTACTTTGGGGTGGGGTGTGGGAAGTAGTCAAAGCTGCCATTGGTCGACTAGGAGAATCAGAATCCAAACTCCGTGAGAATAATGAAAACCAATGCGTTTGCATATAATACATGAATAAACAACATTGGGTAAACGAAGACGAACAAATCTATGAGATATTGGGGCAAACCCGGTTATAATATAAATGGATTGCTTGAGTTGCCTATGAATTCAAGGGTTAAGAAGTGAAATTACGTGGTTTATGTAACTGAATAAATAGGATAGCATAATTGCCTGAAAGAACTTGTGCTTCCATAGAGTACTGGCTGATTGAGATGCACTAAAATATTTTTTGTGTGATCAAATTGAGTTTCATTATATTTATCACCTATATTAAAGCTTTATGTATGAACAATAAGTTATCTTTTGTCTGCTTCGGTCTACGTAGTTTCTAGACTACATGATCGTCAATTAAGCGTGTGTCAACTTGGCGATCGGTTTATTTCTGCAACGAGTGCCTGGTGTGCTTCGCTCCTTGGAAGGCCCACAAAAATGTCATTTGTGGTTAGAATTTCACGAAAGGACTTATTTCATCAAATGAAAGAGTTTTTCACCCGTCGAGATTACTCATTTGGGCAGGGATAAAACATGGTCAAACTTGTCGTTGGATATCAGTCAAAGGCACTATGAATAGTGAGAAATTCGTATCACTGATGATAAAATGTTTCCAGAATTCCATGGAAAACAGATCAACTGAAAAAGTTATCGTCATTCAGGATAACGCTCCGTGTCATGTTTCACGAGAGGTTAATAAATTTATTTAGTGAATAACTCTGGTTCACTTATTATTTACTTTTATACTTCAGAAAATATGCGTGACTCTAAGGTCCAGTTCATGCGACTTCCCGCAAATATCCCAGATCTCAATGTGATCAAAAATCTGTTTTCTGTTTTGAAGAGCGAGGTCAATGTGCTACCTGTGCATTGGACATTGGAGGCAAAAATAGAATACGTAACGGAGCACACACAAAATAGAAAATGACTTCTTAACAAACTTGCTGGATTCGATGACGAAGGGACGAAAAATTCCTAGCGAACAAAGGCAGACAAATCGACTATTAGTGTACACAAACTTTACATCTTAGTTATTATCAATGCTAATTTACTGTAAATAAAAATTGTTTTGTTCTCTTCAGTTAGCTCTTAACTCATCATGGTCTAGGTCAACCACCACTGACGAAATGGGAGTATCCGCTACATTCTGATCCATTCCATCCGCTGAGTATAAACGTAAACCCTGAGTACTTGGTCCACTCATTATGAACTAATAGAGATAGGGTTACCACGAACGAGAGCATTAAGGATCGAAAACAATTGTAAAAATGAGTTCGACTGATTTTGTCCTGTGCCGCCTGTGTAGTGACACACAAACTGATGGTGTAGAGGTCGACCTCCCTTTGAATGGACCAAAACAACTGCATAATGTTTGCAATTATGGTTCACGTTCAACGATGAGCTCTATCAACAAAAGGATGGCGTGCTCATGGGGTCTCCATTGGGATCGCTTTTTGTGGACTTATTCATTACGAAACTTGAGCACACTCAATTGCTGTCATCAACTGAAGACTGTGCACTATACGCACGGTAAGTAGATGATACTTTTTGTGTGATCAATGCAACATGGAACACAGCAAAAGTATTATTATTATATATATTATATATATACATATTATTACTAATTGCCGATACTAAATGTTTGCGTCACCTGTCGAGCACTTGGTTCGGAGCACAGAAAGACAACTTAGAAAGACCGGTAAATTCATTTCCGAAGCTTTGTGNNNNAACGAACCTGGTTCGTTATCTAACGGACGGGGCAAGAAAGGTCTACGAGGAGGACACGATATAAGGAGAGACCCGTGTTATAAGGTGGCTCGTTGCACGCAACTGGTATCCGGAACATTTAATCAACTGAATGGTTTAATGCACAGTGAGCACTTCAAAACACCGAGGTTAAAGGAAGTTCCGTGTACGTTGCTTTGCCTTTCAGGTGGAATTGTACAAAGAAGAGTATTCGAAGCAATCGATAAGAATTTTAGTTTATCCAAGCTTCACGGTCAAGTCAGTTGTGTGTTTGCGACTGAAGCACACAGTTCCCGAATCTGCGGTCTCATTCTGTATACACAAAATGACTTGTTTCTATTCAACATCATACGTAGGCCGCATTGCCGGGCGATTGTCCGGAAGGATTCGCGTACACCACCCTGCGTGTTTGAACACCGGAACGATTAGATCACGTATCAGTGCAGTGGTTTCACGTCTATCTGAAACAAATCACACTGTGGACGAGTCCGAGGCTCTCGCCCCCTATATAAAGCTCCCGGGAAGGTTAGTTGTTGGACGCTAGCCACAGCAGAAGCGGTGGAAATTTGTTTGAACAACTCTTCTGTGGACCAAAAAGTCAATTTGTGCAAGCGCCAAAGATTCCCTGACCCCTCCCACCGTATCATGAGTATTCCTGACGATCGGATGAGTGGAAAAACAACTATGTGATCGTGGGGATACCCATTTCCGGTCTCATGATGAAATAGTTTCCAGTCCTCTGTGGCGTGGCTTTATTTTCCCAAAACGATTTTATCCCCATGTAGTGAGGTGTTGGCACAATGACGGATCACTGAAAGCGAGCTTGTTGGATCGATTGATATTTACATCGGTTTTCATGCTGACTTCGCTTTTCTTATCAGTCACATTTTCCGTTCGTCCGAGCTTCTAAGTGTAAGGGACGTATAATGTTTGGGTTATCAAATTTTGATTAGCCCATTCGGTCGTTCAGAGGCACCAGGCACTCTGAATACACTTGCGTGCAAGCTTCACTCCTTGAGAGATCGTTAATCCCCCTCTAGTTGAATACATTTAAATGCGATGGAGAAAACGCACAATATGATTGTTCCTTCCATTTCTAGTGTCCCCTTGCTACCTCATGTTCCATTGTCGCCCACCCTATAGGATTTATTTATTTTTCATATTTACCTATGCAGTTTACATCAACAAGTCCAAATCAGTTAGATTTAGGACACGAATCAATGCCGAAGCCATTTACATTCGCCTAGTCCATGTGCTCAACGCGAATCGGATCAGGCCAGATAACGATTACGTCACGTTGACCCAGGTCAATTTGCAGTTACGTACCCAAGTGATCCCGCGAACTTTGACCACAATATGATCGATTGATCACATCTAGTCCCACCCCTATCATTGCAGGTGCGATCCCCGAGTTCCCCTCGATGAAGATTGGTTGGGGTCAGAGTAGCTGGTGTCCTAATGCATGGAAATCTTCAGGCTTAAAAATGGAGTTATCGGAATCACATGTTCATCGAAATATTGCTTTCAAAATACAACATATGCTTATCTCCGCGGTGGTGAATGTTTAACAGACTGCGCTCAAACAGGGGAGTTCTTATCACCGTGCTACTGAATCCGTTTTCAGTCCACATCGAATATGAGACCGAGTGTATTGTTTACCTTTTTATTTATGATTAGATACCTCATTGACAATGTAGTTTTGTGTGCTAGTCAACGAAAGACCACTAGACAGAGGCTCCCTACTTTCTGTTACCCATCAACCATATGTAACATCTTTGTCTACCCGACGGATTTCGAACCAAGTACCTTCATCCATCCTAGAAGAGTGAGCCTTTACTGTGATTAGTGATAAGTAAACAGTGTAGAGATATTCCCGAATCCTATTCCACCAATCACCTGTGAAATGCTTTGGTAAGTCGTTGTCTTTCCTGCATATATGAAATATCATTAATTATTTACAATTGGGATTTGACAGGTTGACCAATGACCATCTTTTCCCGTTGTACACATGGGTTTATGTGTGCTCGAACGCATCTGGGAAATACGGATTGTCATTTATGCAGAACTGGCGTTGATGAGGAACTAGAATCCAACATGTTTAGACACCTTAGTGACCATAGCACTCTCCAAGTGTACGTTTCGGTATTTGTACCATCCAACTGTGCATAGTGATAAATAACACTTGCGGTAAAATATATATTTGAATATAGTGAACACCAGGTATGAGGTAACACAATATTATTGACTCTGGTATGAATCTTTTCTCACCTGTTCCCGACATGATTACAGTGCGCAACGGGAAAGTTTTGTAAATGCGTCTTTGTATTTACATGCGAATACGCATTAGACTGTCTGTACACGGCGAGGCTGGAACGGAAGAGCCAACCGGTCGCGCGCATACATCCGTGGGACAAGGTAAAAAGAGGCAAAGTTCAACTCGGTGTGGGAGGAAAAGAGAAAGAGTGTGGATATGAGTGAATTCTGTGAAATTAGGTAGTCCCGGCAAATCATTGTGGCGTCTTGTTGTTTGTTACGTTAAGAAAACAAGTCAACAATTGGTAAAAATGCCACAATCATACAATCAGCAGAATTGGATAGCACAGAATAAAAGATAGCAGACTGCCTCCGCCAGATATAAGGCAACGCGGCCGCATTATGAAAACGTCCGATGGAATGAAAACAAGGGATAGTCAGGTGTTGCGAAGGAAATGTTATTTGGAAAAGTGCAAACGCCTAATGATTATCTGTGCTTTCTTTTGAGAAGGTGGGGCTGGGGAGTGGGGAGAGGAAAAAGACTGGAATGCGGTGGCAAACAGTGGATTTGTATTTGATCCACATTTGAATATGCATGCATATATCTATATACGGTGTTTGCCCAGTTGTTCTCGTTCACCCCTCTCGGATGGTGCGATAAGAAGGGTCGATATAAGTGGAAGCATAACAGATTCGGGATTTGGCGCTGCTTGTAGGTCATTTGGATAAAGCACGTAGAACTGGTTCGGAGTGACGTGAGTTTGCTGTACCCGAGTCGTTTTGACGGGTGTTACTGTGTGTATGGTTCTGGCCATGACGAGCACCGGATTCATCACGCAAAAGTGATTTGTCCACGTCCTTCCGCGCACTGCATCTGTCCCGACTGAACCCGTCCGACGATGTGGACTGTAATTCGGATGTGGATTCACTCCGTCGTTTGACACGCGTTTGGGTTTTATTCAATTGTAATCGCCGAAACATATGCAGAACGGCAGTTGCATTGTAGGCTTTCTGGAAAGAATTGGCAAATGAACAAAGTGATGAGTCGAACCGATTTTACTTTCGCAAATAAATTGTATTCACTGACATTGCTCTAGGTGCCCGGTACGATGCAGAAAGAAACAAAAAGAGTAAGGCTGCTACTGATTTGATTTTGGCAACGTGATCATACATGGATATAAAAAATTATATTTCACAATCTGTGAAATGTTTACCTTCCAGCGTTGAACGGCTAGGAAATTCTTTCTGATCTGTTCACTGACAAATGGATAGAGATCGCGATCCAGTGCCGTATTGCTCGCGATCCACGGATGTTGCAAAGCTTGGGTACAACTAAACCTTTTCTTTGGGTCTTTCTCCATCAAATGTCGTATAAAATCTTTAGCTAAATTGGAAAATGCAGAAACACATTTGGACAGTAACTGAACTCATGGAAACAAAACCGTGACAATAAATAGTACAAACATAAATAGTATCGTCGTAATCCAACATTCAATCCATAAACAGGTGAACTTTGGAGCGCTGGCATGAAACCGTTTATCCTACTGCAGAAAGTGATAAAATCATTGGCCATCTCGGAGAATCATTTTCGCCAACGTGAATTAGGTAACGAAAGGAAATTTCTTTTATTTTTTTATTATACATTATGGTGTGATGAACTTTGTACGGGATAAACTCCATTACCCCGATGATCGTACTGTTCACTGTGGGGAATCAAACCTAAACCCCGGGGACCTAGATTGGCATCAATTTCGGGGGGGGGGGAGCTGAGTGGGAACCTCGGACTAGGATCGAGAGCACGCCGCCGATAGCTGAAACGGAAACCCGACCTTTAACTGAACCCGGGTGCATGTACTTTTCATATCCACTGGATCCACTTCCTTGGCCATCATATTGATCAAAATTGCATGTCCCCTCCCCCCGAACTACGCGACAGATATTCAGCTCTGTCGGTTTCCGGAACTTTCAAGTTATTGCGGCTACTCTATTCGTGACGATGCATCCATCTCCCCTCCGACCTGACTCCTCAAGCGACACACTGAAATTATTTGATCTTCACTTGTGAAGTCGAGGAGTCATTTAAAAGTGCGGAGACCTTCGGCAGACAAAACAATTTTGCACCAACTCAGGTAAACATCATAAGAGACGCTTTGAATACAGCCATCTTGGCAGCTCCTCATCAGTAGTTGCACAGTGAACTCTATATCTTCGTGTTACGTTCCAACAAGGTTCAACTAGCCTAAGCAGACTACAGCACCTTCTTATATAAAATTTGGCAATATATCATGTTCGTCCATTACCGAAAAGGATCAACCTTCTGCATGCACACTGATCGCAAACCACGGGTCCATGCACTGAATGTCAAGACAGAATTTACTCAGCAACAGAAACGCTTCAGCTGAATTACAGTTCTCGGGCAATGTTATGATCCATATAATATACAAACCAAACGTGGACACTGTAAGAGAGCGAACTGATCTCAGGGAACTGACGCAATAGCAGGGAGATGACAAACGATTTCTCGACATGGGCACATCTAACTCTCTCAGGTTGAAAAAATCACCACTGCATTCCACCGATGGCACATTTTGTATGGCTCGCTCATCACTAGCTTTGCTTCCGTTGAAATTGTAGAAAATTAAGTAGCCTCGCTTGAATTCGAACCCACGAATGAACGCCGCCCACGTTCTTCCAGCTAAGCTACGACACTATACCGATAGCACTGATCGTTTCACATTCGAATCACCCATCCAAATTACAGAGGCATACGGTATCCACCAGGTAGTGTGTAAACCGACTGCCAAGGCTACCGAGGATACTAAACGTTTCACAATTTCAGCACAAAACTTCAATCTGCCAAAGAACCATTTTTGAACTTCGCTTCCGTTACTCCAATTTGGCTATAGGTAGGTTATATTGAACCAGGTTCACAATATTTTTAATCCAGGGATTCTGGCGTCATGCCAGCTCAATTTGGTTTGATCCGTTTAGATGTATATGAACTGTCACACAAACTAGGACTCGAACATTCAATTCAATGTCGGCGGAACGGAGTATCCCATCACACGGTATCTTCACCAAACCCTCTTTGTGTTCCGGATTTTCACATTTCGCTGATATTACTGGACTGTTCCCATAATAGAAGGACTGAAGTTTGAGTTGGACTACAACCGATTGTTTTAAGCGTTGATTAATCACGTATCCAGTTCCGATAAGTTGGCAAGGAACGTTGTAAAGTGGTCATTGCAGTACTGGATTGCCACTTTTGGCGTACAAAACATGATCACTGTAGGCCCAGCAGACAGTTTTATACTGATTTGTTTTGCTAGTTCACCAGAATGCTGGATCAAAAACACATCAAATGAGCAGTATATGATGTGATATATAATGATGTAGTCGAAAGACTATATTGGCAGATGAAGATGCCAGTGATCTCAATATTTAGGTCCTTCTTTGAGCGCAGTAAATTGCGAGTTGTTATCCAGTACATCCTTCCTCTCTCAAATAAATATCTTAAAATCACCACAACCAAAATTACTTCTGATGAAACCACTAGTCTCCTAGGTGTGTATTTTCCATTCTGTTCCAACGATGTTCCTGACACATCACACTCCGTTCAAGAATATCTCGGGCGTTTTGCGTAACCACGTTTAACTCCCACCCGTTCAGCACATGATGATCACAACAAAACACTGTTTTTGATAGTTAAGAACAATTCCGTTCATAAATCGCTCGTACTACCACAGGATGGTCCGTTAAGGCTTTTACACCGTGCCAATAGTACAAACTGAACCACTCTATTTCCTGGGTGATCGCATTTTCCCTATCGTCCCATATGTAAAAACTATCAACAAATATGTCTAGTCATTTGGGACAGAAACTCGACGTCCTGGTAGGTCTCTTGGCTATTTTCGCTGACGTTTCCTTCTATTTCCTTCATTAATAAAATAAGTTTTAAATCTGGCGTTTACCGTCGATAATAAACCGCACTCAACTCAGGCTTTCGGAAGTCCTTTTATGTGATTACCTGTTTCCTCAACTCATGCGCAAAGTTGAAAATCACAAGTAATCGATACACTAATGACCACGTACGCGCCCAAGCAATCCTGTGCATAGTGCACAAAAAACAAAACGGGTGAGAAGTTAGATAAATGCGGCTCGTTCACTTTCTTGCATTTCACTATACTTTTAACAGTAATGCCACCCACGAAAAATCAGTATTACGCGTCAATCCATTGATCATTGCCTGGGAGTTCCTGAGTGCCATTTATCGATTCGCACTACATTTAGTACCGCTCATCTTTCGGTCCCATCATTCAAAGCTGATTAATACTACTATTACTAAAATTTACTCTCATTTAGACAGTGTTGAAATTATGAGGTACAACCACCAGAACATTGAAATTAAAAGCAGGAGAGGCGTGTAATGTGAAAATCATTGAATAATCTTTGAAAACATAACATACCAGAATCCGATATATTATCCCAATAAGGTGAATCAAATTCGTATTCTGCCATTCGTATTTGACGAAAAAGCTCATGATCATTCTCATCGTAGAACGGAGGGTACCCGCATAATCTGAAGTATTGGATCAAATGAAGATCATGGTTTTGATTGCGGTATTATAATTGTGCTACTCATGAGTAGCAAACTTCTGAAGACCATTCGTCTACCACATTTTCAAATTTACTCCATTTCGTTAAGGAAATTCAGAACAAAATTTTGAATGCCTTTGGACTTCTATTATAATGTTAGGCTGAGTTTATTCTACAATTCGATGGAGAAACGTTGAGGATGCTTAAAATCACACAAAGATATGATTTACAATACGGAGAGCATATTATAATTTTCTGTATCCGTTTGATGATGTAAACATTTAAAACCGTAATTGTTTTAGATTGTTCATTCTAATCGGAAAAAGCAACTTTTACCAGCTGCACGATTACGCCAAAGCATTACTAAAACATATACGAGGCGAAAACGGTTGAGATCACTGTCCTGTACCTGACGATTTTAAAGATCGTACCTGAGTTAAATAAACGCATTTTTAGTTGAGTATTGCCAACATAAAATCCGAATTACATATTACTTTTCTCCAGTCAGTTTTTTTTGTTATTTTTCTTCTCCTTTCTTTTCAGACAATGACGCCTAGTAGAGAGAGAGTCGATTATGGATCGAAGTTGCAAGGTGGGTTACTTTCTGATTTTGATCGATTAGGCACTTGCGTAAACTTTTTCAATTACTTTGCAAGTTTGCCTCGGCAGCGCGTTAAGATGAGATCTTACACTTTATAACAAAAATGATTGATTACCTTCAACCACTTTGAATTGAAGCCTTATTTCAAATTGTGTCTCTTTATGTACAATGGAAGCACGTTTGTAGGAAAGTCCATTCACTTAGAAATACAAAATGGAGAGCGCATGAAAGACATGAATAAAAGGGGAAAAAACTAGTTTTCTCACAGTTGATTAAAGTTCTCTATATTCATTTTCTAGAAGGTTTCAGACTGCTTCAACTCAACTTAATGAATGGATGCTCACGCCTTTTTAGGCGTGCATTATTAGAGTAGCACGAAGACAAAAGCGTCCATGGTGTTGAAATGAAACTGATAGTCACGTGAATAATTCAGACAGCAGAACCAGTCATTGTTAACTGGAAGCGTAATAGTAGCTACAGTAATGCGTGAATATTGTGGCAAAATGTGTGATTTTCTTCAAGGGATTTAGAATTTATATGACTCAATAGGTTTGAATAGGTTTTAATATACCATTTGCGTTGAGTATTTTGTAGGAATTCATATTCAAATAATAATACACAACAAGTTAATTTTACAAAAACCACCATGCGAGCTGGTCAATAAAAAAAACCGCGATCTTTTTCACTCTCACACATACACCTGGCATGACCCGAATTTAGAAAACTAAGGGCAAAGTGCACCAAGCGACCATTCAATAAGCTGATCGGTTTTATTTGGTGTCGTTAAACACCGACAAGGTCTACCATTTGTTCCTTCATACCATACAGGTTTGCCGCAATTTACGCCCCATGGCTTGGAGCACATATGCCGAATTTCACTGGGTACGAACTTCCTTGATACACAATATTCGGTTACGATTAAGGCGAAAAGGTTCAGTGCTTGATTTCTAGCACTTTAAAGTCACCAGCGTTTTTGCGACTAGTCAACCGACAGCTGTTTCAAGCAGTTCGCGAAAGGTAATTACATAAAATCATTAGGTTGAAACAGTGGCCGTGGGCAGTGATTAGCTGTTCTTGTAGTTATGTTTCATTAATAATAATATTTGTTGATTTGTATTCGATTTCCACGAGCGGGTATGTGCAAATTTCATCCATACCACTTGAGTCTGATCAGCGCACAACGTCAGAAGCATCAAACTGGATCATTGCAGCCATCCTGAAGAAAATGAATATTTTACTCATCAGATATGACCAGATCAATCCCGTAAATGATATAAAGGTTGCGTGTGTGATTCATGAAGCACCGCAAAAAAAGAGTACACATATTTATTACTTGCAGTAAATCAATGTTGTGAATAATCAAGATGAGCTCACGCCCACTTACTAAAATAGTTCGCATGATAATTGATAACCGTCATGTTCCGTTTGCACGGTCAAGTGAGAAGGATTGCTTTCAGCTTAAACCTCTGAAATTTACTTGTTCGATCGGTAAAGTGAGGAGAGTGAAATAACTCCTGTATTATAGTTCAATATGGATTGATTTTCGATCCGCCGATTGTCCGGCCAGTTTCTTTTTCTCTAAGTCTTCCTAAACACCACCTCAAACACGTCATGCTTAGAAACATTTCCTCGTAAAGCCCTACAAATAAAAGCACTTTATTGCATCATTAGGGAACTGGAATACTGTAAATTAAATGGATATTAAAGTTTTATGGCAGCGTATTTGTGGTAATGTTGACAGAGAAACCGAAACAGTTCACAAGTCACCACTCAAGTTACTAAGAAAATTTGTATTATCATTCAGCCAGTTTAAATCCCAATACCGGACGATTGTTTGTTCCCTGATGAATGTTATGTCTCGGCATACACCATACCAGTCACATACACCACATTCATTGTTTTACTGGTGCGGAAACCTTTTAGTCAGTTTATACCGCAATAAATGTTCTTAGGAACAGATCCACGTGACTATAGCTCCACTGGTCCCGTCGCGCTCGTCTGTGCCTTACGGATGAGCACGAAAGCAAACCTATTCAGGCATGTAGATCACAACGAGTGACTGATCAACAGTAATTGCATTTGAATGCACGCGCGATGAATAGTGGATGTTGAGTGAATTGAAGCTTGCTGGGACTGGTTTATTTTTGACAGCAAGAAATTTTACGAAATCCCAGACGGTTGTCCAGTTCAGTGTTGCTTGTAAAAGGTACGAGATAGAAGATGGACTGCCAGCTAATGGGAAGCGATGTGGAATGCATACAGAAAAAAGATGAATAACTCCAAAAGTGGTATCAAATTTCGACCCAGAGGATATAGTTATCTTCCGAATGTGAAACATTCTTCTACTCCAAGCACGAATTGCATACGATTGGAAGTTCATGATGGTTCTACGGGTTCAGATGCGGTAGAGCGAGCAACGCCTTAATCAGATGCATACGACAGGAAAATAGGCGAGCCGAGTTCAAATGTATCGCAGAAAGTGAAAATGATTGCGCTCTATTCACATTAAATGTTCCGGCTAGGTTAATGCACTGAGCATGAGGTAGTAGGATTAGTTTTATAATCATCCGATTTCTCCTCCCATTCCGCGACGTATGAGCACAATTCACAAACCTACGAAATTAAACTGCATCACGATAAGGGAAGACTTATTTTTCGTCAATGAGAAGTTAAAGCGCTATGAATTATCCGCTTCCAACTGGTGGCGCTGTTTGTTTCAGTTTCCAGTAAGCGTATTCGGATACGTATAAAACGTTATATTTTCCATATTGAATGTCGTGATAAAAAATAATTGAGACCAATCAAGCGTTAATATGATCGATATAAATTTCTAAACTGATATGCCTTGGGTTTGTGTTTTCTGTCAGTTCAACAAAAACGGTAGTTCGTGAAATGCAGCTCGCTTAGTCATTGCATTCTTTACGAAAATCGGGAGCAATAACAATTCCGAAGTTAATCGCATTCAATTGTCGGTAACTGTGTAGGATACGGATCGTTGATTTATATTGATCATCCGCTGGAACCTCGAATTCACGAGCAATCAAAAGATAAATGTGAACTAAAAGTCCATTTACAAATTTTATTTGGAGAAGAAAAGCTAAAAGTCTTCAGCCAAAAATGTCATGAAAGATAGGAGTAAGATAAATATATTGTTTTCAGACCAAACGATCTGACTAAATTTCTTGAAAGATGATGATCCTCGTGAGAATTGTTCAATTGTTCAATTCAGAGGTGTGTGTACGTCAGGGACGAGCGTTTAAACTCCAGTTCTGATAAGATCACGGAATGTACGCACAATTGATGAGTTACGAATCGGACAAAACAGCTATCCAGTGTTCTTCCTCGGTTATCACATATATTTCCATCATGTTACCTGTGTGCAATTAATGATCTCCCAAGGCATGAAGCTCAAACACACGAACACAAGAAGTAAGAATGGTTCGTATGATGGGTTTTTGGATAAACCTCTATTTTATTGTTATTGTTGTTGTCGTCGTCGTGTAACAGATAAATCGAGTAATCATTGAGTGAAACACAACTCAAATATGGGGAAATCCAATCAAACGAGATTACTCTCAGTCAATAGTCATATACACACAATCCACTTGTATATAGATCTACGGATGAGTCACCATATTTTGTCATGATCTTCCGCAATTCGGTTGAAACAGGCATTCACTGATTAGGAATTTTTACATAGAGTGATATTTTGAATCCAACAAGGAAAAGGAGAAATAGTCGACCCATTTTCCCATTTATATTCTTCTATTTCCACCACCCACCCCACCCCTTTCAAACTCCCGTGTTCAAACATTGGCATTATCTTGTCAAATGGAAAGGTTTTATTTTCCAACCCTGTACGAGAGCGAATGAGTGAGGTGGAGTGTGGGTGGTGACCTGATGCACAAGTGACTGACTTGGGGTAGATGTTTGAGCACGTGATTCGAACAGAGCGTAACACGAAACAATTTCCATAATTCATCTGACCCCGGAAAATGTTGACATTTGCCACTAAGGTCCAATGCATAGGAAAAGTGATGCTCAAGCACGAGCAGAACAGGCGATATTTATAATTCTGATACAATAGCAGTGAGCATGAAACAGGAACCGGAATTGGGTGAACACTCTTGTCCAGCGAATGAAAGATCCTAAACATATTTAGATGTATGCAAACTAGGTTAGGATTTCAATATTTGATGGGCCGGAAAACTCTAAGCAGCGGAAAGTGTGCTTTATACAATCTTTAATAAACTGCCGTAAAAAATCCAGCGTTTTTAAATCTAAAAAACAGAGTGAATTTAGTACTGTTGGGATGGTGTAT